CAGTGCATGAACAACTATTGCCATGCACACTCGTCATTCAAGTAATCGTTTAGTGAGTAATAGGCTTTGCTCAGTAAATATGATTTAACAGATGTTTTGAATTTATTTAAGGGTAAATCCAACATATCCTTTGGTATCTTATTGTAAATTTTTATACCTATTCCCATAAAGGACCTATTGACTTTTTCTAAACGATACTTGGGGACAGCAAGTTTGTCTTTAAATCTAGTATTAATATTATGAATATTGCTGTTTTTTGGAAATAAGTCAAGATTTTTATGAACATATAGGATATTTAAATATATAAATTGATAGGCAACGGTGAGAATATTTGCCTCTTTCAATTTCTCTCTTAATGAGTCACGACTCTTCATACAGTAGATCGCTCGAACGGCACGTTTTTGTAATATTCATTGCACGTCATTCTAATAGTAATTGAAACAAAATTGATACCTAATTAAAAATAATAATATCCTCGAACAATTCACACAGCGCCATAATAATATAGTCCCGAGCTAAGCGGAGCTTGTGTTATATATATTAGGCAACTGATAGAAATACGTAATGTTATTACGCATGTATTTACATAAATTTTCTGTAAATCCATACAGAACAGCCAGACCAACTCAAACGATTATATATATAAACACAAATATTTGTATTGTGAGAAGAATCAAACCCGAAGCATCGGAAGTATAGCGGTGTGCTTAACCGGTAGACCACCGAGGGAGTCAAATTTATATTGGTTCTGAAGAGTGACCGCGCGGGGGTCAACCTGATATAGTACATTTCTTCCAATGGAGTCACTAGTCGCCATTACCAAAATCCTCTGTACGAATAGAGTTATACCTATGTATATGTATGTATATGTATAATATATAGCTATGTATATCCAAATAAAGTGCTCATTTATCTGTCTGCACAGTATTTACGACTTTATCTTCATATTAGTGCAAAGCCGGGGCGTATCGTATATTACAGAGTATAAATGAGGCTGACTGTACAAGCAGTCAACACAAGACTGACTTATAACAGCAATTCTGAAAGTTTCGCGCTGAAAGACCGAGTTTCCAGTGATAAGGCCGTGATTATAATCTCGGTTGGCATAGCTCAAGTTTGCAGTTTGATCTTTAGATCAGTTTTATAGTATCGTGATGGTTTTTGTTATAGATGATAATGAAATGGTGCACCCGATTGCGCTAACGGTGTACGCTGGCGGAGCACAAGTGGTGGATGATAAAATGAACACGAGGTCAAGTCAGTTAGCCTATCTTGACAAATTCACCAGAAACATTTGGTTGGTTGATTGATGGTTTCCAGGGGGAACCGCGTGGAGGTCAACCTGACATGGTATTTTCTTTTTAATAATAATAATATATATTTATTTTTCTCCACAAAATCATACATAATATAGAGTGCTGCAGAGCCTTTGAGGCATGTAAAATTCTATGCAAAAATACAGATTTGTCGAGAACTGGTGCCTGTACTAGGCATATGAAGAACCTGTATCACGGGTCACCAGGTCCCCCCACTAGATCTTACATGCTAAAATGTATATGTACATTAGATGAAGGATATGGCTACTATATTTAATGATACAGAGAATATTATGTAAAGAAAGAACAATAAAATCTAGTGGTACGTTAATAATGTAAAAGTATCTAACAGAGAAAGAACACTTGTATGCTTGGGTCTATACCCAAGCATACAAGTGTTCTTTCTCTTATAAGAGACTTATAGCGTAGGGCTATCCCTACACTATAAGTCTTTAGGGTAGCATTGATAGCAATGGGGTCAAATCCACATTACTAACAATCATCTTCCCCCCCCCCCCCCCCTCATAGGGCGCTGTTGTCACTTATCATCAAGTAAGCCGCAAGCTCGTTTGTCTCCTAAGCTATAAAAGAAAACCTACACTGTAATAGCTAAAATTAATAACTTCCAAAAACTTACCCCTTTACCTAACACCCTATAATGTAGGGTAGTAATTACGAAAACTGTTTCGTGTCGGCTCGCAGTTAGAGCGGCGAATTAAACAAAAGCTATACTGAGTAACACTGCCGACACGCAAACACTTTGTTCAGGATAAAGATTATAATCACAGTGTGAAATTAATCTATCCCCACGCCAAGCACCTTATGGGGTAGCCAGATATAACTGAATTCCATTGGCTACTATTACAATCGAGATTTGCTTCATAGTACCTTATGGACCAGAGTTACTTCTATTATATATACATCTACACATGTAAATAAAAGTGGACCGTCTATTTGAAATATTTAAATAACTGTTTCTTACTACACGAATATAAATACGGTACATACACCAAATTAACATTTTTTGCAATTTTTGTCTGTCTGTCGGTCTGTTTGTTCCGGCTAATCTCTGAAACGACTGAACCAACGGGACTTTTTTGGCTAGTAGCTGACCTAATAAGGAGTAACTTAAGCTAATTTTATTTTAGAAAAATTCTTTTATTTTAGGAAAATTAAGTTAATTCCACGCGGTCGAGATCGTGGGAACAGCTAGTCTTCAATTCAATCGAGACTTGCTTAATATTTTTTAGAACTTGTCCCATGCATCTCAAATGTCGGATTTGGTGGGAAAGCGGTTGTTAGTAATGTGACATTACTCTATCGCTACCAATGTACATGGCAGATTAACATCCGCGAGTCTGCTTCCCCTCCGATGGATTACGACGTCCTGAGCTGAGGTTCAAACCTGCCTGATGCTCTCAGATTAAAGTCGTATCCGTTAAGAGATCATCCGCTCCATAAGTCCTTCCGCGGGTTTGGAATGCCATCTGCATTTGCTCTATATCGTCCGGTGAAGCTGTAAAGGCCAGCTCCGGCCTACAGCATAAATTAAAATATATTTCTCAAAATAAGTACCTTACTAATATTATAATTTTTGTGAGTATATATGGATAGATGTATGGATGGATATTTGTTACTCTTTCACTCGAAAACTACTCAACGGATTTTCATGAAACTTTATGGTTATATAGCTTATAAACCAGAATAACATGGGCTATAAATTTCATGCGAGCAAAACCACGGGCACAGCAATTTTTTGTATAATTCATAGCATGCGATATTATCTGTTGTAAAATTTAGGTAAACAATTGATAATTATAGTTTTGTGAATCACAATAATAAAACTAAATACATCGTAAATAGAACTTTATTTCTGTTTACACAAAGTCGAATTGTATAAATGTGATATAATAGCACATAGTACATTTTCTATTACATACATAGTAAGTATGAGGAACGATCGGTTTTTATTTACAATAGACTCAAGTTGAGAAAATATATAGGTATTTTAAACTAATAGCTTTTTTTTTAAACTTATTATGCGACATGCATATATTGATTGATAGTTTCTAATGTTTTTCTAAGGTCCGGCCGCTCAGAGTTTGCGTTCTGACAGTTTGGAATCGAATGGACGATGTAACTTTCATCTGACGTATGTGTATAGTTTTTAAGTTATACCACATTAAACTGCGCCGTTTCAAGATTATTTGGTCATATCACTACAAAAACAACATAACCTTGATATAGCGCATTTTGATGTGGTTTGATTTTTAAAAACTATTGTTTTTAGAATTTAGAATAGCCGAAAATTAATACGTTTATTGTAAGTTGGAATAAATATTTAATTTTTAATGTTATCATTCGTTAATGAAGCAAATAAGATATTTAAAAATTTGCCGTAAATTGTACGCCAGTTCAAAGTTACATCGCCCATCCGATCCCGACCTGTCCGACATACAAACTCTGAGCGGCTGAACTCTGTGAGTAAAACTTACTTGCTTTCCCGGCTGAAGTTTCTCTTCTTATTTAAAACTAATAAAAGCAGATACTAAATTCGACGAATAGGTTTATCTCCGCCAGAACTAAACGAGTATCCAATATTAAATTATATTTATAACATTCAGTTGCGCGGAAGAAACTCAATTGCCCTAAAAAACTATATAGAATGTGTAAATTTTATATTTATGATTTTCACCTCAATCATCAAAACTATATAAGTATCTTTATTCATGAAAATCCATTCCAGACACTTGTGATAACTCAAATCTTCCGTCAGTTCAGAATGTACAGTTTCGAGCCAGGGAAAAATGACAAGAAAATCAGCATTAACTTTGTTTTTTTTATAAAAATTTGAATTATATAAAAAAATATTCAGATTCATGTTTAAATTAAATTAGAGAGAATGTAGTGATCATCAACATATACTATTATATTTTAAATGCATAATATATCAGGACAATTCACACAGCGCCATCTAGAACCAAGTTAAGTACAGCTTGTGTTATGGGTACTGGACAACCGATGTTAATACATTCTTAATGCATACATATTATACATAGAACACACTCAGACCGATACAAACAGTAATACTCATGAATACAATACAAAGGTATCGTGCGAAGGATCCAACCCCCGACCATGGAAAACCGGTTTTTTTTCGGACTACTCTAATGCTGTTGGCCGTAGCTGGCCTTTATAGCTTCACTGGACGATAGGGGGCGTGCAGATGGCACTCCAAACCAAAGGAAGGACTTATGGAGCGGCTGAAGGCCCGCCTGACGGATACGAAGTAAGGCGGTGTGAAAAACTGCTACACCGCCAAGACCGTCAAAAAAATATAATTTAATCTTTGGCCGTATAAAAAAAAATAGTAGAATCAAAAACAGATCTCATTAAAATTTATATTCACACAGTAAAATACATTTTTACACGACACAAAGTTTTTTACAAACCAAATTTCGCAAACTTTTAACAGATTTAATCGAATTGTGTATTATTTTGCATAAGTGTATTTCATTACTTAGGTAATAGATTTATATTATTTTGCATAATTACGCTACTATTAGCATGTGTGAGACCACAAATATTTAGTGCGGTAACCTGTTACTAAATCGACATTCGATAGAAATATTTTTTATCGATATGTAAAATTGAGTTTACGTTGCAATGCTAGTTGACAGCGTCAATATAATCGCATTATTGATAGATGACGTCATTTTCACTACGTTACATACGAAAATCGTTACGAAGTTAGATTAGCCCACTGACCACCGCTACTGGAAGTGTTACGATCTGAACTGTGAATTTATATGACAAGAGGCATGTCATCTTTGTTCTCTGGATATGATATGCATATAACGTGATATCCACAATGCTGTTCATGTATAAAGGCGACGGTTACAGCCTACTATTATATACTAAAATATATAACATACATTTTTAAAAATTGACTAACATTATACAATGAAAATAATGGATTTTTCTACTTTATATTCATACTAACTTTTAGCAGCGACTTTGTCGACTTTCTGTAGGATTATATCATATGATAATATATACCTATGTACATCCTCGCGATACAATCTAACTTAAACGTCAAATTTCATTAAAAACCGTTCATTTATAATATTAGAATAGAGTATGGGTTTTAGAGTTTTCTGTGTTTAGACAAGTTTTGCAATCGGTTTCTTTTATGAGATGAGTCACTTAACAAATAATTAAGTTTAAACCGCGATAATATTACTAGTGGTGCCTTGGAGAGCGCCATCTATTGATTTATTTATCTGTTACCTATTGATTTATTGATAATAGGATTGCGAGGCGTCCGGATAAATTATGTCCAATTAGAGTTTTTGATTGCGTGTCCAAAATAAACGGTATCCGGCTTGTTCCACTTTTCATAGGCTTTTTACATTATTTTTATCGTTTAACTTAAACATACGAAGTTTTGTTTAGATTGTTTTTTTTTTAATATTATGTTTTGCGGTTTTGAAGTAACAGCTCATTGACCATAAGACTTATTTGTGCAATTGCCTTTCATAAGAATTTATAAAGAATTCAAAAATGTTGATAAGTGTTTATCTATAATTTATATTTTTACTGATTAATAATAAACTGATTTGGTGTTCGATGTTTATGGTAATATGGTAAAAATAATTTTCTCGTACCTATTAATACTAAAACACAAATCCTTAATAATGTAGGGTATCCGGCCTTTTTAGCCAAACTGGCTGGTTTGGCGATCTGGCAACCCTAATTGATGGTGATCAAATAACAGAAATTAATAAAGCATGTTTACAACGCCATCTATTATTTTATTATTGAATTAATCCATAAAATTGTAAGTGACGTATTAAAATCATTCAAAAAATTAACTATTTGGAGATTATTTTTCATTACCTTCTTTAGCTAATATGTTGCTTTTACCGTGCTTTATCCAATCCATACTTTGCAATATATTCTATGAAAATTTCATACTAATTCCTGCAGCAAATCTTTACATAGTACAAAATGAATTTGTTTCCGCTGTCTGTTCGCTTAGATCTAAACTACGCAACAAATTTTAATGCACTTTTCAGCGAGTAGATAGAGTGATTCAAGAGGAAGGCTTACATGTATAATACAGGTACACTCGTGCGAAGCCGGGGCGGATAGCTAGTTTTGAATAAAAAGATAAACTCAGTTTAGATAAAAGACATTTTCGTTACATAGTTTAACAATTTCATTATATTTAAATGTAATATTTATTCTCATACATCAATAACAAGTATTATCATATTTTTATGGCTAAACAACAGCTGATACTGGAAAAATGAAAAGGATCTGTTTTGTGCAGATTTTTATTCCCTACAACTTTTATTTGAAACATTTTTTCATATTTCTTACCGTTATCGAGTTAAATCAAAATTTCTTTTTTAATATTATTATTCAAGTATTTGCGCATTTATTTTTTTATATTGCGTCAAAACTGGTCACGTCATGTTTAATTAAAAATTTTACTGGTCTATGTATCGTCGATTAAATAGAAAATAGACATTTTTCAAAACTAGAAGCTAGAATTGCCTCCTTTTATATAAGTAAATTAAATTAACCATGCCGTCTTAATCATTATCTAAATACTTTTAAAATGATACATAATACTTCTGTGTAGATTGTGAATTCAAAAATTAAACTTAAAAATGAAAAAATAATTTAAATAAATTTAAAAACTTTAAATGCTTGTCTTGTAAAAAATGTCCATTTTGAATACTGCCATTTTTCTAATTAACCGTCGATATATAGCGATCGGTTAGATTTTTATTATACATTTTTAATCTAAATTAAATGTTAAAACATTATTTCATTGAAACCCACTTGAATTTATCTCGAGTTTAATTAAAGCAAATACTCTTACACATATTTCTCTGTAATACATTATAAATAACAATGATATACCAAAGATGGCGTTAGGATGAAGTCGTTCCTATATATAAGATTTTAATATAGTACTAGCTCAGACCTGCGACTATGTCCGCGTGGAATTTAACTTTTATCACTAAAATAAATATTTTTTTAAGACAAAAGCAGCCTAAGATACTCCTTATAACATTTACTAAGGTGCTGCTGCGAGTGAAAGTCTCGTCAAAATCGGTCAACCCGTTTCAGATATTATTAAGACCAAAAAGACAGAAGATTTCTTTTGAAATTACATTTTTATGTAAGGACCGTAAATACTTTCATGCACTCAGTGTATAGCTGTTAATTTTATATTACAAACAGACACTTTAAATTTATTTATTTGTATATATAACATATAAAATAACATTCAATTGGCAATATAATTATAGAAAATTCTAGACTCAGCTGTATTTACGTCGTTGGATTTAAACATTCAGGGACAGCGAAGTGACTTCAGTGAACTGTTTCATTTGCTAAAGCTTTGACATTGACAAAATTTGACATAGCTTTGACTGGTCTCTTAATCAGTTATAATAATAATAAATAACTCTGGGCAATTAACACAGCGCCATCTAGTGAAGTTATGAGTACTACACAACTGATATAAATACTTAGATACTTTTAAATATATACATAATATACAAAGAAAACACCCAGTCCGATACAAACAACCGTACTCATGAATACAAATGATTGCACCGTGCGAGGAATCGAACCCGCGACCATCGGAAGAAAAGCAATGTGCTAAACCGTTAAACCATCGAAGCCGTCGATTTTAATAAACATGAAGCATGTGATTATAATTTTTAGCATACACGTAATGCTAAAAATTATAATCACATGCTCATCTCACCAACGTTTCTATGTGACCTACACTCAAAACATACATCAGAATATACAGCCTTTTTTTGAAGAAGGTTGAAAATTATTATTAAAAATAGTATATACTGAAAATTAAGAAGCAACGATATCATCTAGCGCCTCCTTTTGGCGTACAATGAAATATAAACCTTTACACTTGACATTAAAGACGTAATTCATCAGTGCAGATGTTATCCCATTAGTTAGGCCCCTATAAAATACATCACATTACAGTGTCAGCCTTTTCACACACAACAATCCTGCTCTTATAGGACCAACATAGCCAGTTAACAGCCGATATTGAACCGTATTGCTAACGTATTTATGTGTAATTTTCCTAGCCTAATACATTTCAATAATTCCATTAGCTTTCTAGGGCCTATATATGCAGTTGTCAACCGACATTGAACCGTATATCTAATCCGTTTGCGCACAATTTAGCTAGTCTACTCCCATCGGCTTCGCTTTCCACCTTTGCGGACGCGGTCGGCCTTATTTTCCTGCGGCTGTGAGGCTGGGGCGTTGACCCCGGGTTGAATGGTGGACAGCGTCTGCTCCCACGAGTGGTCTGTTGATGCTGTGAACTGAGAATTAGAGAAAGATCTAATAAGAGATTCTTTATAAAATTCGAATTTGTGGCCCTAGCAAATTATTAGGGTCGGTGAATTATTTATTTGAATTGCAAAATTAGACACTTACATAATTTTATTTTACACACATTATTTATATAATTATATTTAAAAAAAAACACGCCCTAACTTTTGACACACACACTAAAATAGAGTTTTTATTTTTTAAAAAAATTATATATATTGTTTTCTATATTATTAAAGTCTGTGGTAAAATTCAGAATAGATTATATTAATATTTGTCTCTAGTTTTACTAATTGTTAAAATAATTATGCTCCAATTACTACCTCTTGGCTACCATTAGTAATAATAATAATATAAATAATTTTAAAAGAATAAAGGGAACATACCTGACTGTACTGGGACCTGAAGGCCTGTTTGAGAGATGACAGTCGATCGGTTGCAGGCCCGTGTGTCTTCTCTATGTTCACCACTGACGTTGGCTCGTCATTATGCGCCGGAAGACCTGGCCGTTCCTTGTAGCTATAAAACATAGAAGTACTGTATTCTGGAAGTATTGTATATCTTTATAGTTACATAATAAGTACAGTAGAAAATAATTATATTACTTATAATAATATCTCAGGACAATTCGCACAACGCCATCTAGTCCCAAGTTTAGCAGATCTCGTGTTATGGGTACTAGACAACTGATATCTTAATTTTAATAATATTATGAACACGAAAGTTTATAAGTATGGATGTTTGTTACTCTTTCATGCAAAAACTACTGAACGGATTTTGATGAAACTTTACAGTAATATATCTTATGCATCAGAATAACACACAGGCTATATATTTTATTGAAATTTAACTCGAATGAAACCGCGGGCACAGCTTAGTACATACACAAACACATTTTTTTTAAATGCACATAACATACCCAGACCGATACTAACACAAATGTTTGTACAGTGTAAGGAATCAAACCCTAAGCAACACTCGTTCACAAGCATGACGGATGAGCCAGCTCACTGCGATCGACCATATTTTAGGAACCCCAATGACGCGGTCCACCACGTTTTAGTGAGCAAGACTACTCAAGACACTCGACCACGTCACAGCCACTTAAACATATAGACACTTACCCGAGTCCGCATCCTCCGACGTTGAGGTTCTTTGCTTTGCCCTTCTTGAAGCGCGACTTGCGGAACCACGCTGACTGCATCGCTAGCTGCATGAGATCCTCGGGCACTTCCTGTTTATTACACAATTAAGCATTACTATACTCGTCTTTTGTTCTAGCTACTACTTTACTACTCTTCTCACTATAGGACATTAAAATGTACTACCTGATGGCACAGTTATCTGATGACCAGATTGGAGACGGCACAGTCACCTGATGACCTGACCGCAGACGGCACAATTACCTGGAGGCCGGGCCGTTGGTGGCACAGACATCTGGTAACCGGCTAGTAGATTGGATGCAGCTGAGTTACCTGGCGGTCCAAGGGTGGCACAGTTACCTTATGAGGGTGAAGGTGGCAAGATGACCTGGTGGCCAGGCCGCAGTTGGCAAGCAGCAGGTGCCCGGCGAAGACTCTATCTTCTGTGTAAACTCCTCCGCGTTGTCAGTTACCTGGTGCACGGCCTCCAGGTTGCGCAGCAGGTGTCCGGCGAAGTCCCTGTCCCGGTCTCGTGTGAGCAGTGTGTGCGCTCGCCCCCGGACGCCGGCTCGTCCGGTGCGTCCGACTCGGTGTGTGTGCGTGTCGATATCGCGCGCCACCGTGTAGTTGACCACCGTGCGGATGTGCGGGATGTCCAGACCGCGCGCTGCACACACCAAACTTTTACCTCTACCAAGTAACACGAACCGATACTGCATCCTCACACCTAACACTATAACCTAGTAACACGCACCAGGACCGCATCCATCTTTTGGTGTACTACGTCAACTCACATAGATCGGTAGGTAATGTTCAAATCGTTCATGTCGGGGGGAAATGGGATTTTAGTAATGTGGTCTAATGAACCCATTACTAGCAATGTACCATGGCAGATTGACCTCCACGCGGTTCCCCCTGGAAAGCATCGTGATAAATTCTTGGTGAATTTGTCACGATGGGCTAACTGACATGACCTCATGCACATCTTATCATTCTCCACTGGTGCCCCTCCAGCGTAAACCGTTAGCGCAGGCGGGTGCACCATACCATTATCATCCACAAACAAAAATCGTTGATGTCAATAATTTGGAATTGGGAGGAGTCCAGCCAATTCAGAGATTAGCCGGAACAAACAGAGAGACAGACAATAATGGTAGAAAATGTTATTTTGATGTATGTACCATATTTATATTCATATGCATGTAGTATAAATCGATTATTTCAATATTACAGACACTCCAATTTTATTTATATGTATAGATAAAAAAGTATGCTCACCAGCGACATCCGTGGCCACTAGTATATTATTCTCTTGCCTCTTGAAAGCTGTGATCACTTTATTCCTATCTGCTTGATCCATATCACCGTGCAACAGCAGGGCATCATATTGCTGTACCCCCAAGTTGGCTGCTGTTTGCTCTGCTTCTAACTATACATGAGAGAAAGAAAGAATAGAAGAAAAGCAGTTTATTTATTGTATTATCATCATCATCATCGTCATCATCGTCATCATCATCATCATCATTATTATTACTGTCAACTGGCAAGGTACATCAAGTATGCAGATGCGAACGTCAGACAAAAACATATAGATACCAAGCCATCTGTGTGGTCACATACAGTAGTTTTCGAGGATACAAATTGGCCTATATCCTTACTAGTGATATCATTTTTTAAGAATCTATTTTCCTCTTTAATATAATTAAAATCTGTTTATTAAATCAGTCGTCAAAAAATAATAATATGAACGAAATTACTATGAATGAATACGAGCTGAGTTTCTTGTCAGTTCATTTCGAAATAATTCCGAACTGACGAAACGAAATAAATAAACGAACAAACGACGAACGAAATAAATTTTATATATCATAAAAGTCTGTAATAGACCTACATAAACAAAGATAATTTGAATTTTGAATTACGAGCCTGTAATAGTCGATGAATAAAGATATTTTGAATTTGAATTTGAATTTTGAATCACATGTATGGAGTGTCACGTGATAATGTGATGTTCGTAGTGCTGTTCACGTCTATAGGCGATGTTACCGTTTACCAAGTGAACTGTGAACTTGTGTGTAATTTCAATTAAATAAAAAAAAATTAATTCACACAATAAATTTATATAAACATTCGCATTTATATAAAAACAACATACAGAAAGAATCTTTCGCATTCATAATATTAGGTATGGATAAAGATACGTACTTTTTTTGTAACGAAAATCAGAACGCTGCCGGCCGACAGAAATTCAACTAAGTTTTGTAGCAACCACGGCCATTTTTCTTCCGGTTTGTTGAATATCCTGTAAAAATACAAAAATTCGAATATATTATATGCTTACCTAGTGCCCTAATACAAGCTCTGCTTACCATGTGACTAGCTGGTACACTGTGTTAATTGTTCAGGGTTATTTATTTATTTTAATTTTATATTGTAGGTTAATGAGTAGAACAGAAATAAGTAGTATAGAAATTAGTAGCGTAGAAATGAGTCGTATAGAAATGAGTAGTGTAGAAATGAGTGGCGTAAAAATGAGTAGTGTAGAAATGGATAACGTAGAAACGAGTAGTACAGAACTGAGTAGTATCAAAACTAGTGTGCGGAGAAGTAGTGAGCAGTACGTACCGCTCGCCGGCGGCGCCGTGCTGCACGCGCACGGGGTCGTGCAGCGCGTCGCGTGGGTGTAGCGTGCGTACGTACCTCACGTGCTGCGCGACGAGGTCGCTGGCCTCGCCGGCGGCGCCGTGCTGCACGCGCACGGGGTCGTGCAGCGCGTCGCGTGGGTGTAGCGTGCGTACGTACCTCACGTGCTGCGCGACGAGGTCGCTGGCCTCGCCGGCGGCGCCGTGCTGCACGCGCACGGGGTCGTGCAGCGCGTCGCTTGGGTGTAGCGTGCGTACGTACCTCACGTGCTGCGCGACGAGGTCGCTGGCCTCGCCGGCGGCGCCGTGCTGCACGCGCACGGGGTCGTGCAGCGCGTCGCGTGGGTGTAGCGTGCGTACGTACCTCACGTGCTGCGCGACGAGGTCGCTGGCCTCGCCGGCGGCGCCGTGCTGCACGCGCACGGGGTCGTGCAGCGCGTCGCGCGCGAGTCGCTCCACGCGCCGCGGGAACGTCGCGCTGAACAGCAGCGCCTGCCGCTCCGGACGCACGTGGCTGCAGATGCTGCGCACCTGCGGCTCTGACACCGCACACACCACAAGTCACACATTATACATCACTGCAGGCAGAGGACCTCACGCTGCACGCGCACGGGGTCGTGCACCACTAGGGGGATGAACGTTGGGGCCTCTACACTAGTCATCCGCACCCCCCTAAAATAGTTATCGTTGTGGCATCGATACCAGTCACTCGCACTCGCCTAGTGGAGTGAAGGTTGGTGCCCCGACACCAGTTATCCGCACTCCCCCAGGGGAATGAACGCTAGGGCCTCGTTATGGAAAACGATCACTGTACCATATATCATATAACAGACAGATGTCTGTAGCGCTTTCAAGCCAAAATTACTGAACCGATTTAAATGAAATTTGATATACAAATAAAAATACTATCTAAGTTTAATCGCGGGCACAGCTAGTTCAATATAAATAGAGAAACAAATAGACAGAAAACACTTTCGCGTTACAATACTAGGCCAATTAAATAGAAGAGAAAAACATATTTCGCTGACTAAATTAATGAGATAAGGAGGAAGCAGATGATGATGATGATGATTCTTTTTATACTACGATGGTGTCAAACAAACATACCAGTCCATCTGATGGTAAACGGTTACCTATATCTAAAGGTCCTAAGTAAATGTAAGTAAAAAGAAACACTTACCAAAACCCATATCAAACATCCTATCCGCCTCGTCTAGGACCAAATACGTGACTCTCTGCAGGTTGGTCGCTTTACATTTTATTAAATCAATTACTCTACCCGGAGTACCGACTATAATTTCAGCGCCGCCACCTAAAACATAGCAATAATGTGGTTGGAAGACATTTTAAATTATTACTTTGCTTTATATAAAAAAAATACCTTTTTTTTAATTTACATGTAGAACAAAGCTACTTTGGCCTTTTAAAAATAACTTTGTACCTTGATTTTTTCTTTAAATCACCTTTAGAACTAAGCTATTTATATTTTAGACCCCATAAAATACTAAGGTTTGTTTTGTAAAGACTTACATAAATTTACATAGAAAAAAAGCTAGACCAATATATAAAAAACCATATGCATGAATGTTTGTGCCGTGCGAGGAATCGAACCTTGATAAGCTAAACCGCTAGACCACAGAGACTGAATTGAATGATCGATTGATAGAGATTCTGTATCACACATACAATTTTTATTTATCTTATTAATATTATAAACGCAAAAGTTTGTATGTATGGATGGATGTTTGTTACTCTTTCACGCAAAATATACTCAACGGATTTTGATGAAACTTTACAGTAATATAGCTTATACATCAGAATAACATAAAGGTAATTTCACGTGGATGAAACCGCGTGCACAGCTAGTTTATTAATATTTTATATTTTACTTGCTCCTCGCCCCGGCTTCGGACAGGTGTACTTATATTATATATATAAACTTTCCTCTAGAATCACTCTATATATTAAGATAACCGCTTCAAAATCTGTTGTGTAGTTTTAAAGATTTAAGCAAATATAGGGACGGACAGACAACGACTGCGACTTTGTTTTATACTCAATCAAGCAAGGCAATCAAAGTGTACAACAATCTTCCAAGAGAGATTAAAGAACTGGGGTCTCATACGTTATTCAAACGCAAACTAAAGAATTGGCTGTCACTTGGTAATTTTTACAGTGTCCAAGAATATTTGAGTGGCACAAGCGCCTTCACGTAATTTGCATGCCTGTATGGTAAATATGGCTGATCAATGGATTTCATGTGGCATCGTATTAATTATAGTACTGTACCAATATTTCGCAAATAAATTATTTCATTTCATTTCATTTCATTTACTATGTAATGAAATTATATACAACATCGACTGTACATGATTCATACCTTCTAACGCTTTGGTCTGCTCCCATTTGGATCCACCGCCGTAACAACACACGCAGCGTATATTGTAAACCTTTCCAAACCGCTTTGCCTCCATGTATATCTAAAAACAACAACTCTCAGGTCTTATCAAAGGATATAGAACTTTACAACCGCCACTTAAGGTTGAGAACGGAGATTTCTTAATTGGATCTATTGCCAATAATTGTATACTACTCGTGTACGAGTAGTTAGGGACTGGTCTGCTCTAATCACTACGACTGATTTACTCTTATTTAGTTACTCAACCAGTTGGTCGTATATTTAATATTTTCTCTATTTGAATATTTCATTGAATTAGAGCTAGTAGGTAATTTGTATTCGCACATTTCAACTTAAAAATGTAAAGTAACAACAAAATTATTTAAAAGAGCAACACACAAGTTTCTTGTTTATTCTTCTTGTGATGAGACGGCAATCCGAATGAGCGGTAGATTGATAAAAATGTGATGACTATTCAAAAGTGCTACAATGTAAGTTTATTTGAATAAATTATATTCTATTCTTCAAGCGTCCATAGGCTACGGTAACCATTTACCATCAGAAGGGTACATGTTTGTTTACTACCATCATAGTATAAAAAAGTATAACCTGTAAGCTATGCTTTTTTAGCTTAGCTTAGCTTACCTAACCCGCTTATTCTATACATTCTAAATTAAGTTATACATTAAAGGAAGAAGCCATGGAGGCCTAAAACAACAACAACAAAAAAGTCACGCAAAGTGTCTATGATCTTTCAGATCATAGAGGGCGCATAAATGAGAAAAGTTATAAAAAAATCACGTAAATTGTCTATGGTCTTTCGGACCATAGTCAGCGTACCTGCTGTGCTAATTCTCTGGTTGGGGCGAGGATAAGACCTATAGGTCCGTCCCCCGGCGCCAGCTCCTTCTGGTCCATGATGTGCACCAACAACGGCCACAAGAACGCTGCCGTCTTACCCGATCCAGTTCGGGCAATACCTGCAAACGTGATATAAAACCTATAATATTATGGTTTATAATAATTCAATAATCTATACTAAAGACGATTTTTTTCAGACTACTCTAATGTTAGTGGTCGTAGCTGGCCTTTACAGCCTCATCGGACGATAGATGGCGAGTGCAGATGGCATTCTAAGCAAAGGAAGGACTTATGAAGCGGATGAAGGATACGCCTTTAGTCTGAGGGCACCGCTAGGTTTTCGAACTTCGGCTCAAGCCATCGTAATTTCGATCCCTGTCTGAATTGGACGGGGGATCGATCGTTAGAGCGACTGAGGGCACCGGTGTGGAACACCCGGGCGAGCGCAGGCGCCCGATTAATTCGGTATAGTATGTTTGAGGTCGTCGTCTTCGCCGGCGAGGACGGTGTCGTATGTGTGTGTTAAAGTGTGAACGGAACGGGTCGATCCATGGGGAGGTTAACTACCGTTATGGGGTCAATAAGAACGCACTAATCACTGTATAGACTATAGATTGTTGAATTAATAGAAGAATATTGTTTAAATTTAAATATTATTTTTATTATTTTAATTCCCTATAATCTTACAATTTGTTAAAAAGACAAGATTGTTAACCCTGGAAAAATCTCACAGCGCCATCTAATCCTATTAGTATTAAGTAAGTAGTCTCATACCAATCGGATTCTTCTATTAATGGGCTCCAAAGTTAGGTTAGTTAGTTTGGTTTGTCGATAACTTAAAAAGATGTGAAAATGTGTAGATCGATCATGTTAAAAACGTAAAAATTTTCATTTTTCCCACTGGAGGTACAGTTCTTTCCCGTCAACAGATTCCCACAACAAATCTGCTAAAGGCTTGGCGAGCCGATCGCAAGATAGATATCTGATATATAAAATTCTCGTGTCACAATGTTAGTTTCCATACTCCGAAACGGTTTGACCAATTTTTATTTTATATACATATTCTGAGAATCGGTTACTATCTATTTTTAACACCCCTAAGCGATAATGGTTGTCCATGTCCACCCCTAACATTTATTTTTTGGATATTTTTTTTTATTATTATAATTTGGTATTAAAAAATACATTCAACTCTAAATTTTCACTCTTTTATCACTAAGCCCTATTCTTTAATAGCAATATTTATTTATATGACAAAACAACATTTGCCGGGACAGCTAGTCATAATATAAAAAAAAAGGTGTGCAAATGTGTATACCTATGAGGTCTCTGCCTGAGAGCGCTGCGGGCACGCCTGCCGCCTGCACGGGCGTGGGCTGCGAGTACTCCGAGCGGCGGATGGCGCGCATCAGTTGCTCGTCGAAGCCCAGGTGGGCGAAGCTACTCACCGGCCGCGGGGGGTCCGGGCCAGTTATCTGCGACAAGACACAGTTCGTCATACTCGAGAACGCTTCTTAATTCTTCAGAAGTTCATTAGTTTACGTCGAGACCGACTGACCCTTTTCAAATGCAATTGTATATCATTAAAGAACTGGCTCGAGCCCATCGGTGTAGTCACACATTAATTTTAGGTCTTGTGTTGTATAAATCAGAATATGATTTTTAACCAAATTAATAAATAGGTAGTACTTAATTATTATCAGTCGTTTTTTTCTGGATCTCGTTTAAATTTTCCCACACTATCTGGACCCAAAATTCTTGCCGATTACTGCAAGGGCATCAAAGACTTTTTTTGACAAAAATTTCATTACTATTCACTATCGCATAACGGCCTAAAATCTCATTTAGAAAAGCTAAATGTGGAAAGCAGAGTCCAAATTACAAAACAAATACTGTTAATTATTGGTGAAGTATTAAATTTACCTTAACACCTAAATTCTTCTTCAACTCCTCAACCTGTTCTGGTGTTAATTTCTCGATATCCTCATGTGGGGTGTAGAAATTCTTCTCAAACGGCTCGTACACGATTTCTGAGTGATCTATTGGAGGTAGTGGGTCTATGTATTTCTTTTTGGCGGGAGCTATTGGGTTGCCATCTTCGTCATATTCTATTTCTACGTCAGATCCATCATCACCTTGGTTTAAGGGATTTTCTTCCATATATCTGTAATATTCAGAAACATAATCTATACATCTATACATATAAATAAAATTGGACTGTCTGTTTGTAATATTGAAATAACCGTTTTTTACTACATGCATATGAATATAAATACGGTACATACACCAAACTAACATTTTTACAATTTTTGTCTGTCTGTCTGCCTGTTTGTTCCAGCTAATCTCTGAAATGGCTGGACCGATTTTGACGGGAATTTTTTTTTCAGGTAGCTGATGTAATAAGGAATAACTTAGGCTTTTATTTAAGAAAAATATTTTATTTTAGAAAATAAAGTTAAAGTCGCAGGAACAGCTAGTATGTAAAATAAATGTGTTTTAACTATTCAAAGCTTCATAGGATTCGACGCGGTGTCCTATATAGCTAGTCGATAGACGGTCTCTGTGGCTAGACCACATACTAAGTATAGGACAATTTTCTTCTGTTGGTCGCTGGTTTCATACCTCGCACATTACAAACACTTTGTATTCATGAGTTGGTATCGGTCTGGATGTTTTAAAAAATATATAAATCAAATAGGGTGAGGATAAGGGTGAGTGAGAATAAGAGTCAAATATCTTATCTAACTGAAGCTACCAACAAAACTTACTTGTAATAGCTCTCTTCATCATCCATTTCGTCTATGTCCCCTCTGGTGCCTCTACCGCTGTCCCCCTTGCCACTGGCAGCATTCTCCTTGCTTGCAACCATATCCTTAGCAGCCTGCTGCTCCAGACCCGCCATGTAGGCATCTAGAGGATCCTCTTCATCATCATCAGCCTGAAATATTCATATAATTGAAAAGTAAATGCAAATGAAGGCTAAAAATGTAATTGCAAGGGTCATATAGTTGTTTTCTACTCTGAAATATGCCCAAGTGGTGATGAGTTCAATCTGACTGATACATAAAACTGTGTTTATATTCCTGACTGGATATATACTGAAATGTGAGCATGAGAAGAATGTAATATTGTATATCCCTCAGTGATAAGGATTCTTTTTTACGTAATTTCTTAGTAATTTAATCAGGATGGGCAAACTACAATGATGATAAGATCATCTTATCATCCTTCACTAGTAGCCTGCCAGCATATACAGATACTGCATTCCAAGTCCAACAAGTACACCTCAAAGCTAAGATATCTCTGCCAAAACCATCAATTCTTGATTCAGTTTCATAATTTTAAATTATTATATGTATATACATACCTTTGAACTGGAAGCAGCTTCATATGATGGACTGCCAGGAGCAGGTATGTAAGCCAGAGCTGGTGTTGGAGGCTCATCATCTTCATCAAAATATCTAAGAATTAGAATAATTTTTTATATATATAATTACTGATGCATCTTCTATAAAACGCTAACTATGTCAGTGGAAGAAGGGTTGAAAGATTGTATGTACTTTTAGCTTGAATAAATAAAAAAATCCTATATTGATAAATAACAATTTTTTAATTTATACATTCCTTACTGCAACAAATTTTCACTACATGAGGTATCATCAGGCAATGAATAAAGTAGCCTGATGATGCCTCAATTAAAGGTAATTATAACGATATGAGTGTAGATCCAATAACGGTCGGAATTAGATCACTACTAGGAAAGGTTGTAAAACTTCCATTAGCTACAGTCAGATTTCTCCACAGAATATTTGTGATTTCACACATCCTAATTGTAACAGAATTAAACAAAATAATACAAATCTGTAAGGCAGTGGTTATCACTGATCACTCTGTATAACATGTATAATATTAATTTGGAAAGAATATGAGCGGAGTTTCTTGTTAATTCTTCTCATCTCGAAATCATTCTCAATTGACGGTAGATTTGAAATATCATAAGAGTCTATAATAGACCGACATGAATAAAGATATTTTGAATCACCTCACCACTGTAGTAATGTGTATGATAATAAGGTATCCCTACATAATTTGTTTGTCTATTGTAGTATCTAGATAGTGAGGATACTAGTGTAATAATTGTACTATTTATTGTACATTAGTAAGTTTACCATATACACCATATACTACACGGCTTATTAGTAAAACATACATTGAATGTGGAGTCGTAATGTAGACTGACTTTACACTGAACTTAAATCTATTATCTGAGAGGTACTAACGAAAGGGTCTAATCTATTTAATAGTAAACATTCTTACACAAATTAAATATTTAAAATAAGAGTACTATCCTTGTAGACAGTGAATGTAATTTATTAAATTAGCTTTGATCTTTATTTTAAATTTTGAAGGACTCTTCATTATCGGAAACTGTAGGTAACACCATATGTATAAATAACATAGACTTACTCATCTTCAGTCTTTGACCGTTTCTTGCCTATCGCACCCCAGTTGCCAGTGACCGCGTTCTGCGTAATTGCGTTCATAGTAGAATACCCCTGTTTGGAGAGTCCAGTCGTGGGGGGTGGCACGGCATGCATAGAGGTCGTAGGGGGAGGTACAGCGTGCAGCGACACATTTGACGGATTCCGTTTAGGCATCGTGAACCCCGCAAACCCAAACCCCTTACCGCCACTCCCGCCTGAATTATAACTCATCCTGTTTTCAATTTCACTACCAATAACAATCTCATCAAACAGTGAGGTTAGATACCAGTTTGTTTACACTACTTTTGGGCGATTTTATCGATGCGCTATCGGAATTTAGTATAGTTTATTTATATCTAGAGTATTGTAACTCCCAACCCACAGATTATCATATCACAAAAGACAACAATCTCTATCGATAATTGATAAAAGACTCAAAATGAAAGCGAACTAGAAACTTGATAGAGCAAGGAAGCAATTGACAATTATGACATTAACACTTGACATTAGCAATGTTGCCATATTCAGAAATTGTACAGATGTTAGTCTTATGATGCTGCGTCTGCAACATTTATTGTTTTCATTCGTATTTTTTTGTTTATTCGTATTTTACTAATTTAGTAATTTTAAAAGATTTCGTCATTAGAAAAACTACGTAATATTTTTTAACAATTCTTCTGAAATTTATTACTGCATTGTAGAGTAATAAATTTCAGAAAACTGACATCAGGGTTGACATTATGGTCATAAAAATAACATACTGCTTACTAAATCAAGTGGTACTCGTTACCACGGTATTGTTACGGTACTACCTAATTATAGTACATCATACTACTCAAACAGCAATACACAAAAAAAATACGACATTATTAGAAATAATATAAATTGTAACATAATAAAATTCTAAAAGAAATGAGGAAACACAGTTTTATAGTATTTAACTTTTTTGTAGGTAATAAAAAAAGTAATAAAATTATTTAAAGACATGTTTCTTGAATACCTAAAAATTTTAATTTACCATATTTAAACATCTAACGACGTTATTAAATAATGAAATAGAAAATAATTATTCGTTTAGCGCCAATACTCTAGAAATTAAAACCTAGTCAATATAAACAGTAAACATTGTCATCACATTCTTTGTCAAATTCATGTATACATTACATACATGGACACACCTGTATGTGTGAACCCTAAATTTGTGAATGTTGTACAGCATTCACAAATTCAGTTGGAATACGTGATATTCTCAGTAGAGAAGTTAATTTATGTTTATATCGTGAGATGAAAGAAGAATAGTTTCCTTTGAATAACTTTCCTTTATTTACTCCACATCATATAATACAATATAATTTGACATAACATTTTTTTTTATTATGAACGTATATAAATGTGCTACACGTGTAGGTATATCATTTATCGCTGCATTCTCAGATATCGCTCTTTATATGGACAATACATATTACATATAAATATTGTTAGAAGGAAATATCCTTATTTTTTATTATAATTATTTTATAAATACAATAAAAATATGTAAAGCTTATTCGAAATGATCTCCATTGGCAACAATACAATCTTTTAACCGTTAAGGACAGTTATCAATAGAAGGACGCACCTTCACTGCCAATCTTATGGATTGCTTTAGGGACTCCAAATTATCATGGCGTTTAGAGCAAGTCACACTCTCTAAAACTGACCATAAAACATAATCCAGCGGATTAAGATCGGGACTAGCTGACGGCCAGTCTTCAGCTTCGATGAAGACGATCCATTCAAGCTTGCTTGGAAACGAACATTCCGAGTTCGTTTCCAAGCTAGCTTGAATGGATCGAGCTTTATGGCCTGACATCTTCCAGAAAAGACCATTCTTGATCAAGGAACATGGTGTAGGTAAGGGACTTACCACCTTCTCAAGAATGGTATCTTGATACAATTGTGCCTATATTTAGAGAATAAGATAATGTCCACGTTGCACTGTGTTCACGCGAACGCGGGAGTGAAGTGACCTTGAGGGACTGAGCGGTACGGTCGGGGTTTCATTGTACCTATAGATATAAATGTTGACAAATGTCCAATTAGATCTATAAACAACGAAGGCAATAGTTGTATCGACTCAGTCTATACAGCCATTGTTTTTTTTGCATTTTCGAAAACAACAGGAAACACAAAATAATTATCTATGATCTTACGATAACTACCGTACACCCAAATTTAAATCTTATTCCATGTTACATAAGACAGTACGGTAACTACAAGAATTTAGACGTATCAACACGGTACATCTATACGGAACCGTACCGACTAGTGTCGAGTACTTCGTACTTCGTACTCGTACCGTAACCGTTTGCAACAGTAGTTTATAATAGAGATGTGCTAACTCGTAATAGACATGACACGAGTTAACTTCAGTTGAAATTCAGTTATTCCGAGTTAAGTCGAGTTACCTGAATATCGAAGGAGTTTTATTTTATTTTCTGGCTATTTTATTGTTGTTAGTTGCAGCAGATCCTGACAGGTACTCCGAATTATAGGGGCGAGTGGAAATGGTACTCCAAACCCGTCGCTTAAGGACTTATGAAGTCGAATAGTCGTAGTCGACGAATGCTTGGCTGCAATTCAACTCACAATTTTTTTTAATTATTAATTAACAAGCTCGTGTTTCCTACATATTAAAATAAATCCGATAGTTTTTTACAATTTACAAGTACATTACTTAAAAATAATGACAACTGACAACCGCTAATTTAATGATAACATGACCTCAAACCAACTAAAACAAAGATATGATAAGAAAACTTCATGTTATTGCCGGTTTCATTCGGTCATTGCAATTACGGGAGTACCTACTAAGGCACGAATCTAATGACCGAATCGCGCTCTCGTTCTTTCACTTGCTTTATTCATTTACCGGTTGAATTCAACCCACTCGAGTTTGGAGAATTCAACACAACTCGAGTTGGCACATCTCTAGTTCTAGTATGTATCACAGATAAGATAATATTACAATCTGTATTAATGTGTCATTCTTTTTCTGTCCGGTATGCGATTTTGTCTGTAGTAATTATTTACGTTTTATATTTGTTACTTTTGTAGACAATATAAAAAATGTATTTCAAATTGTGCATATTAATATTTTCATTCCTTGCAATAACCAATGTGGAAGCGTCGCAGGGTTATGGATTCGCCGATTTCGTAGCTACCATTCTGGGTATAGGAATTGTACTCGTTGCTATTTTCACATGTTTGGGTAGTTACGCTAGACAAAAAGCTAGAAACGAGTTCATATAAAAATACCACGTGAGTAATGTTTCAACTTACACTATGCCTAGTATTTATTATTAAGGTTGATATCATTTGCTTACAAGTTTGTTACTTTACAGATTCCAGAGAACGTCTGTAAAGAGCAATGAAAACGTCGGACAAAATGCTGTTATATTTCTAAAACTTATCATAAATTCACATACTTTTATAGAACATTCGTCATGTTTATATTGTATAGAATTTGGTGAGGGATAAGTGTAAAACTAGATATAAATATAAGGATAATTAACCAGAATAATCTTTTGTGATGACTACTGTGCACTAATTATCATATATATGTACATATACGCTTGTTTGCCACCATAATGGTATAAAAAAAATTTGTTCAGGGAATGTATAATTAAATATAATTATAAGGAATATTAAACAGAATGTTATAAATAACGTAACTACTAATAAATTTCATATGTAAATATTGTTACCACATTTCAAATGTGATTACTGAACGTACATATATTTATATACAAAACATTATGAGGGGGGAGGCATTCTGAGGACTGCCACTTATTAGCGGGGCAGGTACTAGAAGTTGTACCACACATTACTGTTTAAAAGCGGGGAAGGTAATACCTTCCCCATTTAAAATAAGTAATTTTAAGTGACACAAGGGAAAATTATATATATATATTTATTCATATGAGTCCAAATACCTGCCCCGCTCATAAGGTATTAATAATATACTTGCAAAGTGGTTCAAGTGACTGTATGTTAGTTGATCAATTTTGTAAAGATTTTATTGCCTGGTATAAAAATTAATATAAAATGTGAAGATGCAAGTATAGTTTACAGTTTTATACTTAACTAATAACTGTACTTGAGAATTTTTTTTACATTTCATATTAAGCTCAATGTTTGTTTGCAATTTCAGTTGATATAAAAAAAGTATCTTGCATTAAATATTTTGCATATACATTATTGTTGTTTTGATTTTTATAATAACTAGTTGACCCAACAGACATTGTTCTTTATTAGTTAATGCAAATTGACAAACACAGTTCAAATAGTTAGGTCCTAATTAAGTAATTCTAAAACTGCTGCCATTTTGTTTTTTTTTTCGGATTACTCTAATGCTGTTGGCTGCAGCTGGCCTTTACAGCTTCACTGGACGATAGGGAATGAGTGCAAATGGCACTTCAAAACCCGCGGAAGGACTTATGGAGCTGATGGTTAACTCCCGCCTGACGGATACGACTTTAGTCTGAGGGCACCACTAGGAAATTAAATCTCTCCTCAGGTTGTTGTAATTTCGTCTGCAATTTTCATTACGTTCTGTACGGAAAATTCTATAAAGTACTTGCAATTAATAAAAAATGAAATTGATAAAGTGGTTGTGAACCACTTTATGTTGTTCTGTAACTATGAGGAATAGGCATTCTTTTATATATATGTATACAGAAGATAGCGTTGGACAGAGGTTGGTTGGTCTGTTGGAGGACGCCCATGTCTTGAACAAGCTGAGGAACTGAGTGATATAGCAATAAACAAAAACAACTTTAATTTAAATATCAGTATAAAGGCAGAAGATAATAATAAACAATGTTTACTGTAAATAATTTATAATTAATAAAAGAAAATATCATTACCATACTCTTGTTCATAAATCAACACATCAAACTGATCATAAAATATAATGTCACTCATATAATTTGGCTTAACTTATACACTATTCTGTTTCTCTAAAAGTTCAATTTCTTTTATGATATCGTTTTTCTTTGACATCTTCTCTCTTTGATCCTTATCCGGGTTTTTGAGATTGCCTGACTTTATTTTCTCCTCGAGGCACTCAATGTCCCTGAGCTTTTTTCTTAGATTCTTGAGTTTTTTCGCTGGATCGGCCGGTGCCTGTGTGTTGGCTGGTGATGAGGATGCACTAGTGAACACTGGTTCAGTTATTTCACATTTGGCAAGTTTATCAGCTGCATCATCTATTCCTGCTGTAGAAATAAAACAGGCTGACTATTATGAACATTATAATAGTTACAAGAGATTCTCTAACTTACATAACATTGTATATCAAATTATCAATATATAGGCAGACAGCTTCAGTGGTCTAGCGGTTCAGAACACCTCAGATCCGATAGTCGCGGGTTCGATTCCGCGCAGGGCCTAAACATTTGTATTCCTAAGTATGATTGTTTGTATCAGTTTGGTTGTTTTCTATGTATAGTATGTGGCTTTATGAAAAAGAAATTTACTTGTATCAGTTATCTAGTACCCATAACTTAAGCTTTAGCAAGCTTAACTTGGGTCTAGATGGTGCTGTGTGAATAGTCCTGAGATTATTATTATAGGTAACCACAAGTTTCTAGGCGACAATCAGCTACTTCGTCAGTTACAGTTCCATTAAAAATAAACAAAAGAATGTGTCTGTCACACAGAGTAGAAGTGCAACATTGGACTGTCATTGTACTCTCCAACACCATCAGCCTTTCTCTTTCTCTTACAATGCAATATATCCTGAACATCCTGTCTATATAGAAGTTTCCCTTCAAACATAATAAATAGATCAAATTTCAATTAAAATAAAAAATAACAATTAAAAAATAAAATTGTAACATAAGTTAAGTTAATTAATTGTAACATACTTTAATATATTATAGCATTTTGTGCTAATATTTATAGACATTTTCCCAAATATTAATGAGTCTAAGAACATTATTTAAATTATTAAACGGGTCTTAACACAAATAATTTTATGGGAAATAAAGGTATTTACCACTCTCGAGTCTAAGAACCTTACAAAACCACATGGAACGTAAATGGGAGATGAGATGGGAGAATGATGAGAGAATGGGAGGCTATTGAAATATCAGTTGAATTAATTATTATAGATAATACACAACAAACATTCTAAGCATACCTAGACTCGGAAGAATTTCTTAAAAATGTAATTCTGAAGAACATGTATTTAAAAGTGCAACACACAAGTTTCTATCTCATTCTTTTTGTGATGAGTTTGCATTCTGAGTGAGCGGTAGTACAGAAAAATATGACTATTCAAAAGTGCTTATATTAAGTTTATTTGAATAAAGATTATTTTTATTTCTACTCTAGATGAATATAGACTGTTTCTCAATTCTAGATCAATCTTTTGAAACTGTTAAAAAAAATCCATTAGGTGCAGTGATTCCAGATATAACATGAACATAAGGCAAAATTTTATTGATTATAAAATTAAAATTAATTCAAATTTAGTGAAAATTTCTCCTTTCTCAGCTTCTTTCGCCTTGGTATATACTTTTCAGGTAAATATATATATACTAGTAGTGCCCGCATTTTCATCCAAGAGAAATTTATAGCAAATAGCTATTCTGATATATAAGCTATATTACTGTAAAGTTTCATTAAAACCCGTTCAGTAGTTTCTGTGTGAAAGAGTAATAAACATACATCCATAATGACAAACTTTCATGTTTATAATATTAATAAGGTTTAATGTAGTAATCAATTCAAAATATAAGTACCCTATTTATGCAGATATAGAACACTCAAATAACAGCCCTATAAATCAGGCACACATAGGCCATGGTAACTATTTACCATCAGATGGGTTATGAGGAATTTGCCATCTTCATGTTATAAAATAATAATAGCATTGGCAGACATGCTATTATTATTTTTTATTTCACCTTATTATTTAATCCTTAAGTTAAATATAATATGGGGCTATATTGTATGTAAATAATATGAAGCTACCTAAAATAAATTAAAAAAATAATAATTAGGAACTGTACATGCAGATACAATAATGAAAATGAACAGACCTGTCTTCTTTTTCTTCTTCTTCTTCTCCACATTTATCACCATGCCTGGTATAGGCTGTAACACTCCACTTTGGTTTTTTCTGGACCTCTGTGCTTCTGCTACTATTTCCGGAGTCAGGCCCACTGGGAGCCCGGTATTCTGTCGCGCTTTGAACTGTTTACCTTTACTCTCATAAAGTGGTACTTCCTCTTGCGGTACATAGCCATCCTTTATTCGTCTTGGCTTTCTCCAAGTGCCATCAGGTCTCTGAGTGGCTGGGATAAATTTGCAACCTACAAGAAGTACTGCTATAATACCACTATAAGCAGATTTTCAGATGATGTTAGTAATTAGAGAGTTAACGAAAAAACTCTAATTATGTTCAGCTATTCACGTTTTCGTACGCCGTTAAGATTTACGACACGAACTCAGCGAGTCGTAACGTTCGAGTTATTTTAAATAGCTACTTGAAAATGAGAGAAAGAATTCGATTTAAAACGTTCTAAATTTAAATTATAAAAAGAAAAGTTATAAGAAGAATATTCTAATTGATCCCAAAGAGAAACTACTTTCATTGTTGTTAAAACAGTCTCACCATCAGCGTCGTGCTCATATGCCGTGGTGGACATTATTACTGCATACGAACTCTGTTCTTCACACAAACTATAAATCCACCATTTAAATTTTATTATTACTATAATTGTTTATTTATTTCACTCGATTTTGCTGTATTTCTACTGCATTTTCAATTTATGTCGCTGTACTGTAAAAGCAGTTTGTGAAATTGACACTATTGAAATATTAAACTGACGTACAGATTGACACTATAACTGATTTTCATGAATAATCACACGTAAAATCCAATTGTCATTCTGAGTAAAGGTATATTACAAAATATTGTTTGTAACGATACTTATTATATATCATATAATTATCGTTACAAATACAAACAAGTAGGATAAAATTTAATTTGACTAGATTGTACCTATCTTTGTACAAAATATTTTATAAACATGAATGCTTAAATACCTTATGTATGATTTATTCATCTCATCGTGCAATGATATTTGATATTGTAATTTCCCTTAACTTAATTAAACATTCTAAATGACAGCTTGAATGAGCGAATATTGACAATTTATGTCAAATTCAAATGCATTATAGAATTTTTGATTTGAATTTGTATATTTATTTTGTTGTTTGATAATTGTATTATCAAAAAATTGACTATTATTGAAGTGTTTCGAAATTCAAATTTAATTCATAGTAATAATATTACGGAAGTACCAAGTTCTTTTGTTTCAATTAAATTCGTATTTTAATACTGTGCACGAAAAATGCCTAAACGTAAACGATTATTAACTCCTTCAAAAAATAAAGCAAAAGTAAATCAGTCTATTAATCATAAGGAAGAGGATGATCCTAAAGGTTTATTGAAATTTGGTATTTAAATGAATGACTCTAGAACTAACTTTAGCTTAAACATACCTATTGTCTGAATTTTCACTAACGATTTTTATTTTATAGATAATAAAGAAGTATCGACAGCCCGTGGTCGTCTAAAGGGTGCTTTATTGGAAGCATTGGAACCAACGGCTGAAGACTCAGATACTTCGTTAGAACCAAGTCCAACAAAAAGGGACAGGTTAGTGCAGTGATATAGCTGATATAACAGTACCGGTTGTCTTAGCCTGTACCAAATTTATATCTAAGTATTCAGTTATTATTAATAATTACGAGCTGGTTTCACCTTCTTGCAGTTTTTTAATATGAAGAATGGCCTATGTCCTGGATCATGCTGACTATGGGCAGTGCCGATATACAAAACTTTTTTGTTGTAGTATAAATACTATTACAAATTTTGGTAGAAACCATTATGTCTTGAGGGACTTGTAACATACTCATTTATACTGAACTATAAGGAGTATGTTATGTAAAATATCTTTGTATATATAATAACTTCTCACACCGTGGCAGTGTGGCATTCTGAAGGATTCAGTTCAGATTCAAAAGAAGGGATATGTAGTATACTCTGAATAATACCCAAATCAAATTTGTTATTATCAAAAGTTATGTTAAAAAGTAACAAACACACTGGCACATTATTGCATATAGAACATTAATCTTATTAATATTATAAACTCAAAAGTTTGTAAGTACGGACGGATATTTGTTACTCTTACATCAAAAAACTATGGAATGGATTTTGATGAAACTTTACAGTTATATAGCTTATACATAAGAATAACATATAGGCTATAAATTTCACGCATGTGAAACCGGTCACAGTTATTATGATAGAACTTTATTTGATCTTTACAATAAAAAAAATATTGTGAATGAACATGGACCATTTTAACACTATTGTAATTTTCTAAGGTACACAAACCAAGAAAATAAAAGCAACTCCACCTCAGATGAGGATGAAAGACCACAAAGGAAGCAGTCACCGCAACGACAGTCGTATGTGCTGAAATTATTTGACAGAAGTGTGGACCTGTCACAGTTTGAGGAAGACTCACCATTGTACCCAATTTGCAGAGCATGGATCGCCAACCAGCCTAAAGCTGATTACAGTAAATTTGGGTGAGTTAAGGTACTTAATATATATTGAATAGAATGTTATTCCTGCTTTCTTATATATAAAATCTCATGTCACAATGTCAGTTACCATATTCCTCTGAAATCACTTGACCAATTTTTATGAAATTTTATATGTATAGTCAGTAGGTCTAAGAATCAGAAAGGAAAATCGTTAAGAATGTAGACTGTTTACACTAGTTTAAAAAAAAAATTGTTTTCCTTAAAATAGTTCTACAGTTAAATAAAAGTGCTTTAAAGATTACAATACATTTCAGACAGAAGTTCAAAACTCCTGAACCAAACGAGGACAGTGTTGACTTGCCGGCACCTGAAGGCCCCCCTGTGTCCAGAATACCAGAACTGCTGCCAGAACAAAAGAACCGCACTGGTGACAATATCAATCTGAATTATGTGAGTATGAAATTAAATATTAATTTCTCAAGAAAACTGATTAGAAATTCATAGAAACCTGTACATATTTTTATATTATAATAAATAATAAACTCTGAATCTAATTAAAAAAATCTATACAATAAATTAATAAATAACTCTGGTTAATTAACACAGCGCCATCTAGTCCCACGGTAAGCAGAGCTTGTGTTAGAGGTACTGAGTAGAGACAACTGATAAAAATACTTTGATTTTTTTTAAATACAAATATTATGTACATGGAAAACACTCATATTGATACAAACAGTCATACTCATAAACACAATGCTTCCACTCCGATTACAGGCAGTCCGTACTTACGGCATGTTAGGTTCTCTAAATACGCGATGTAAATTGAAACGACGTAAGCGTGACATATCTTTTCATATGTGTACATCTAAAACTCGGGTTAGGATCCACACGGATTAAAAAAAAATACATTTATAACACAGGATATCTTTTATTATCAAAAGTATGTCCGACGACGTAAGTAAGGACTGCCTGTATATAAAAAGAAATGTATAATTAAACTGGTGTGTGTACAGCGTGATGCCGTGCTACCCACTAGAGAGCAATTGCTGCAGTCCCACGTGTCACGCTGGGCAGCCGTTCGGCAGGCGTGGCTCGACCAGGCACTCAAGGTGGAGGAGCGCTACGAGAGCACGCAGCAACTACTCAACAAGATCAACGTCAAGTGAGTATGTAGTAATTTTACACACAGACAAATCAACTTTCTTTTGTAGTAGTCTTACTAATATTATAAACGCGGAAGTTTGTGAGTTGGATGGATGTTTCTTACTCTTTCCTTTACAGTAATAAAGCTTATACATCAGAATAAAAGTATAATTTAAAAAGCTTTTATGTAATTTGTATATAATGATAAATATCAAATATGATGCAGAGGAAGTTGCACGGGTCAGCTAGTATAATTTCTATGCTTATTATTATTATTATTACCACTTTGCTGTGTGTATTCATATGTATATTATATAAATAACTTATTAATTTTAATATTTATTTTGTTTCAGCTCAATGTAATTAACTCACAATCAACTTGGTGATTACATATGATTTTTATCAATATATTTTCTATAAGAATTCGTTTCTACATGCTTTTTACAAGTATTATTTTGTAACAAATCATTGATTATTGTTGATTGGATTATTATATGGAATAAAGATAAATTATATAGAATTTTATAATGATTTATTTGTAAATATATAATACAATTAGGCATGTATCCGTTTTTTCTTTTTATTCACGACTCCTGGCTGGCGCGGACACGCTGACTGCTTGTGTCCTTTCTCGTGACAATTGTAACAAGACTGCAACAAATTAAATGTATTTTTACATTCACACAATCATGTATCTGATAAGATTACGTTGATTTAATGCATCAGCAAAATTAAAACTTACCACATGTGTGAAATAAAAAATTTACTAATATTATAAACGTGAAAGTTTGTGATTACCGATGGATGTTTGTTACTCTTTCACCGCAAAAACTACGGAACAGATTTTGATGAAACTTGACAGTAATATAGCTTAAATATCAGAATAACATACAGGCTATAATTTTAAAAAATATATTATGTAAATTGGGCGAAATATAACGATAAATGCAACAAGTTGCATGGGTCAGCTAGTATAAAATATTAGTATTTAAAAATTCTAATAGTAATTTTTAAGAATGAACATTAATAATAATAATATCCCTGATCAATTCACCTAGTGCCATCTAGTCCCGAACTAAATAGAGTTTCTGTTATGGGTACTAGACAGCTGATATAAACATATAGGTAGCTACTGTTTTTTTTAATATACATAGTATACATAGAGAACACCCAAACTGATACAAACAATTAAATTCATGAACACAAATGTTAGTACCGTGCGAGGAATCGAACCCGTGACGATCGAAAGTAAAACGGTTTGCTATACCCCTAGACCACCGAGGCTGTCATATAAGAATGAATGATAACATGAATGAAATAAGTTTTATTTACGAAATTCTAAACTAAACCTTATGATCCACTAGTAAATTACATTTTTAAATACAATCAATATGTTTACTTACTTGACTTTCAATAGTCACGCCGCAAACATGATCTTTTTGCTGGCAACACCGGTTACACTGCGTACAATGGAAGAAAGTCGGCTTCACGCATCGTTTACAAGTGTTGCAATGTTTGTATGTCATCCCATTCTTACTTGTGCACTCCTTACACTTGTTACAATGATTGTTAGACACCGAAACCCAGTATTTGCATTTTTCGCACAACTTATACTTGCTATCATTGGATAAATCAATAGTTGCCAGTGGCAAATTGGTGAAGAACCGCACGGGAGATCCGAATTTGCGGCCACCTTTCTTATTACTTTGGAACTTCTTGTGTTTCTCGTATTCAATCTGAAAATATTTACAGAAGTATAATTAAGCATGAATAAAATTAAAGAAGGTTATTAATAATTAGTATTATAAACATTTTACATACGTATAATTAGTAAAAATCTCGGGATCCTACCACGTTTTATATTTATTTGCTGAGTTCCCGATATTTCGGCAGTGTTTCAACCACCATGATCACGGGTAAACTGAAGAGCAGCGGGTAGATGGAAAATGAAATCTTTTTATGGGCAGACATATGCGTCTACCTTCACACGTCTTCGTTTGTTGCTACTACTGGAACTCGCTCGATATTCATCTCGGCAAACTGTACTTACAGTATCTTCACGTACATTTAATACACTTTTCGATCGCGTTTTTTGTTTTTGTTTAATTAAACCAATCACTGGATTCCAGGCACTAGAGATCCTATAACCGTCTTCTAGATTGAAATTTTTATATTTCTGTATTTCAATGGCCTCTAACCATTCTTCAGTGTACCCGTGATCATGGTGGTTGAAACACTGCCGAAATATCGGGATCTCAGCAAATAAATATAAAACGTGGTAAGATCCCGTGATTTTTACTAATTATACGTATAAATAATGACCTCGTCAAATTTAAAACAGTATTTTACATACATAACAAAATAAATAAGTGAACAATAATAAACTGGTAGATAATGCCGCAACACGCCAATAAGTCTGCCATATATACAATTTATTTCTGTGTATTGAAAATAAATAAATAACCTTCATAACTGTCCAACCACAGATGGACTAGTCCAAGACAAAAATCGATAAACTAGCGAAGGTACACTTGACATGCCTAATTTTTATTGGATATTTTTTAATCTAATGTAGCGGGGATCATCATCATCAATTCAGCCCGGAAGACGTCTACTATTAATAACAACACAAAGTAAGTGACCCTAAGAACAAAGGCCATCCCCAAAGATCAAGGGATGATTACTTTTATTTATTTTGTTTGTTACCTATATTTTCACACACCAAAAAACTGAGTAATTCTACCTGCCATGTTGAAATTCAAATATTACTACTAAACCACTGATATAAATACTCAAGTACATTATTACGATACAAACAATACTCATGAATACAAATATTTTCACCATGCAAATAATCGAACCCGCGATCACCACAGAGACCGTCAAAATTCAAAATTAATTTATTTATGTAAGATTTAAGTCACTTATGCAATTCTTTAATATAATGTTATACCTGATAATCGTGCATTTTAATTTCCGGCATCATATTCCTTATATAGGGCTCCGCAAAATATGGGAATGCCCATAAAATCGGGAGGTCATCTTTCTTGCTTGCTTCCTTGTACATAGCAGTCAGCTCTCGCAAGGTATGAACGAGTGGTTCCACACGCCCACCGAATGGTGGATCTATTACCACACATAAGCCTCCATCTCTGAAAAATAATGTATTATTCCTAATACTATATTTCTATTAAAAATAAAAAAACTAGAGACATACAAACATCCGAATGAAGACTAATTGACAGATGCTCTCCAGTTCAGTTTAAAGCAAAAATGGAACTGGGCAGAGTTTGAGTCAAGTACAATACAGAGGCAGGAGATGGACTATTCTAACAACAAAATCACCAGGCCCAACAGACATATGCAGAGTGAGATGAAAAAAAGATGGGCTGATGACATAAAAAATAATGCAGGAAAAGATTGGTGCAGACTGTCAAATTCAAATTATATATTATTCATGTAGTACATTAGCCGCTTTAAAAAATTTACGTTCACATTAAAAAAAATTACGTACAGTAATTTTCTTCATACTATAATTTTTTCCCTACCATCAGTTCAGTATATTGATCCAATTGAGAAGAACTGGCAAGAAATTCAATTATATTACTTGTTTTTTTTATGAAAATCCCGTACATGAACAATTATTGCTATGCACACTCGTCTCGAATAAAGAGGGTTGGCAAAGGATGGAGGTTATATAACAGTCAATATTTATTTTGACATCTGCACCTGCCTCCTCTTGGTGAAACTGTAAATGCCAGGTGCGATCCAACAGCCTTAGAGTAGTCAGGAAAAAATATTTTATGTCTTAATGTTTGTAATAAAGTATAAATAAATATATAGGAGTATGACAAATGACTTACTTTGAACTGTTGAAGAATTTCTTCAAGACTTTCTCATCTTCATTAGCATTGAACATATAGTTGTTGAACATATTGTACCATATGTACTTGTTGGGAGGTTGGAACTGGTGGTGTCTGGTGTCATAGTCCAACAGTATGGAGGTGAAGTCGGAACTCATTTCAGCTGCTTCATGAACTGATGGTGTGCCAATGCAGAGGATATTTCTAAAATGTACAACAATTCTAAATTACTATGCATTGATTAGGGAGGTAAATAAGATGTTACATATGTGCAAGACTACATAGGGCCCTGGCCCAAGTGTGCCCTATTCTGACCAGGATCTAGCATTGTAGACAAAGGAACAGATTCATCTAATAAATTTCCTCTAATAATATACTCTTTACGCAATAATCAGTTGTAAGCATCATGTGATGATATGTCACCCATGATGTTCAGGGATTGCCATTCCAGAGAACTAAGGTATCATGCTTCATCTCCTGTAATTTTACAGCCTTATAAGGGTTCAACTGAAACAGCTTACAAAGTTTCTACACAGACAACTTTTTAGAGCAACTTTTCTACCTCATTATATTTTTTATAATGAATTGCTTGATTGACCAGACAATTAATAAAGCTGTTGTTAGATGTTTTTTGTTTGTACCTAAGCACATATTTACTGCAACATTTAATTTTACCACCTTGTTCTCTGGTTCAAACTACCCACATATAATTTGATATTTTTATTTTTATTTTTTTTTATGATGGTAGATAAATATCACTGTTAAGTGATTGGGTGTGTCCTGTTACGTAGAAAAAGTACTATTGTTTTTCCTCGCAATAAAATCAAATATAAAAGTTAATCCTTGACTTTCCAATAATCTCGCCTTTGAAAACGTAATAGAAGTTTCATGGTCCTCGAGTCGGATATTGGCTAAAGGTGTTTTTTGATATAATCACCGGTGGTGAAGTGATAATCACCCTACGTCTCACAAGATAGCAAACCAGGATTGCTATCTAATTATCCCATCAGCTGGCAACGGCGAATAGGATCCGGGAGGTTCATTCCCGGAGGAACGACGTACGGGAGGCAAAAGGCAGTGGAAAAAATTGTGAATTCAGCGTACCTATAGCAGGTACCTAATAAAGTGAGAAGATTTTTACTATTTGAATTAGATGCAAGTGAGTGTGAAGTGATAAAACCGTGAGTACAATTTTAATTTTACCAAAAAAGTAATATTCAATAGTGTTTCAAGAATATACAAATTGACTTTACCCGCGCGATACTTATATGGACTTTGGACTTTGTCATCATTGAGTTATTCATTTATTGCAAAAAAATATATATTGTGATTTTTGTTCTTATTTTAATGCACTTGGATACCTATCTCTTACATTATATAAAATAGATTATATATTTTGATTGTAAGACTAATAAGGTTAATTAATTAGATATATATTAATTGGATCTTATAATATTAATCATGGAATCATTAAGTAACGTACAGAAAGATGTAAAATTTAATATAGGTAAAGCTAGGTCTAATTTTAAAAAGTCCCCAAAGGATAGATTATCTATTTCATACATTGAAGCACGGTTAGAAAATGTTGAAAGACAGTGGATTCAATTCACACAAACACATACTCAAATTATTTGTGAAGTCAAAAAATCTGAGTTACTGAATTCAGAATATTATAATAATGGTGTTTATGATGAGGTGGAAGAATTATATGTATTATATAAATCAGAATTAAAAGACATGTTAAACAAATTAAAAATGTCTAGTCCAAGTTCATGTAGCAGTCAAAGTGTAAATTCAGGACATAACGTAAAATTACCAGAAATTAAAATTCCTATATACACAGGCAAATATACGGAGTGGCATACATTTAGAGATTTATTCTTAGGCCTTGTACACACAAATAAGAATTTAGATGACGCACAAAAATTTTATTATTTAAAAGGTCATTTATCGGGTGATGCTGAAATGTTATTGAGAAATGTAAATGTTACTGCGGAAAATTATAAAAGTAGTTGGAATAAATTGGAAACTATGTATAATAATAAAAAATTCTTAGCTAACGCTATTTTGAAGCGATTATTAAACCAAAAGGGTTTAACTTTCGAATCGGCAAATGAAATTAAAAGATTTTTAAGTACCACTACAGATTGTTTAGACGCTATAAAAAATTTAGGAGTCGATGTATCTTCGTGGGATATAATTGTAATACATATAATAGGTGCGAAACTAGACAAGGAGACAAGAAAGGTGTGGGAGTTAAAGGTCTCATCAGATTCGAGTGATGAATTACCAACATTTGCACAATTTAGTGAATTTTTAACCGGTCGTTTTCGAGGTCTAGAAAATTTAGATGGTAGGTCTTTAGTTGACAGATCCCAAAAGAACACTCAATCTTTTCATACATATACCAAAAATGTCGATAAAAAAATAGTTACGTGTGTATTTTGTTCAGCTGCCCATAGAATAACGTCGTGTAAGGGTTTCGGCAAGGAATCAAATGATTCTCGTCGTAAATTTGCACAAGAAAATGGACTATGCTTTATATGTTTAACAGGTAACCACTCTGCCAAGTTTTGTAAAACATCTCTCAGATGCCACGTTTGTAAAAGACGTCACCATACATTACTGCACCCCAGTGTGCACAGCGTTGCAAGATCTAATTGTGAAGTCAATGGAGGGAGTGAGGAAATGTCGTCTACTGAAAATACAGAGTCGACGAAGGAGGTAACGGTAAATCATAGTATTACCACAAAACACTTGAAGCCTAGTGATTCATATCTTTCGACAGGAAATTGTTATGGCACAGTTTTATTGACCACAGCTCATGTAAAAGCTGAGTCGAAAGATGGAACATACAGGGATATAAGAGCTTTGTTAGATCAAGGGTCACAGGGTTCATTTATTACTGAGATGACAGCTCAGTACTTAGGATTAAAAAAAATGCCATCCAGGCACAGTATTATAGGTGTAGGAGGAGACAAAAATGTCAGGTCCAATTATACAGTGACAGTCAAAATACAGTCTAGAGTAGATCCAAATTATATTATACAACTTAAGGCTTATGTATTAAAATCTATTACATCCCTTCTTCCAGTTATGAAGGTTAAGAAGGTAATAGAATTGGTTGACCTTAATAAGGATGAACTGGCTGATCCTGAATATTATAGACCTAACAAAATAGATGTTTTGTTAGGTGCTGAAATTTACAGTCAAGTCATTCGAGAAGGTTTGAGAAGAAGTTCGACTGGATCACTTGTTGCTCAGGATACAGCATTCGGTTGGGTTATATCTGGTGCTATTGATGCAGATTATAATTCTGATGTTCAATCGCATATTGGTGTTATGCATACGATCGTAGATTATGATACGTTATTGAAACGGTTTTGGGAGCTGGAAGCGGAGCCATCTGAAAAAACAAAAATGCTTACACCGGAAGAAGCGAAATGTGAGGAATTATTTGAGAAAACTACCAGTCGAGATAAGAGTGGTCGTTACATTGTTCGACTTCCGCTACGAGATGCTGAACCAGAATGTAGGAAAGGTGAAACTAGAGTAATAGCTGAGAGAAGATTAAATAGTTTACAATATAGATTTCAAAAGAATAGTAATCTTAGAGAAGAATATACAAGAGTCATACACGAATATTTAGAGCTTCATCATATGACCAGGGTACCTAAGGAAGAAGAAAATAATAAAAATGCCGTGTACTTACCTCATCATGCAGTCATTCGGGAGGATAAAACAACCACGAAGATACGAGTTGTATTTGACGCCTCCTGCAAAGGTAAAAATGGTGTGTCATTAAATGACAATTTAATGGTTGGTCCTACCTTGCAAGCCGATATTCATCATCTTATTACTCGCTGGAGAACGCATCCTATTGTTTTAGTTGCCGATATTGTTAAAATGTATCGGCAGGTTTTAGTTCATAAAAATGATCTTATTTTTCAACGCATTTTATGGAAAGATAAACCAGAAAACGAGATTGAAGAATACGAGCTTTCTACGGTTACGTTTGGAACTGCTTCTGGTCCGTATCTGGCTGTACGTTCATTACAACAGGTTGCTCGTGATGAATGCCAGAATAATCCAATAATTGCAAAAATAATTTTAAATGATTTTTATATTGATGACCTCATGACAGGAGCTGAAACAATTGAAGAAGGATTTAATATTTATAAAAACATGAATAAAATTTTAGTGAAAGGGGACTTTCAGTTAGAAAAATGGATTAGTAATAATAGAGACTTATGCAATCAAATGAAAGAAGAAAAATTAAAATCAAACCAAGACTTAGAAATAAAGGTTGATAATAATCATAAAATTCTTGGACTTACCTGGGATCCTCATGCTGATGTTTTTCAGTATTCAGTGGAAATCCAGCGGCAACTAGAACCTGCAACAAAAAGAATTATTGTATCCGATATTTCACGGTTATTTGACCCTCTAGGATGGTTAGCACCTACTATCATTTTAGCTAAAGTTATAATTCAAAAGCTTTGGCTAGCCGGGATTAAATGGGATGAAGAAGTTCCTAGTAACTTACTATTGGAATGGAATACTTACCGACATGGATTAGTATCACTGCGCTCCATAAAAATTCCTCGTTGGTTGGGTACACGAAGTAAAAATGTAAAAACCGAATTACACGGGTTCTCAGACGCCTCGAAAATGGCTTATGCGGCCGTTGTCTATATAAGATCCGTCGACTCGGAAGGCAACGTACATATTTCGTTAGTTACCTCAAAAACGAAAGTTGCACCCATCAGACAAGTGTCTATTCCGAGGTTAGAATTGTGTGGTGCAGTGTTATTAGCGAGATTGATTGTAGACGTAGCCGATGATTTGCATATCAATCAGAGCGATCTGCACGCTTGGACGGATTCGGAAGTCGTTTTAGCGTGGTTAAATAGCCATCCAAGCCGCTGGAAAACATTCGTTGCCAACAGAGTCTCAGATATATTGAGTATTTTGGATACACATCACTGGTCACATGTGTCCTCTAAACAAAATCCCGCAGACTGTGCTTCACGAGGTGTTTCTCCTACTGATCTGGGTCAGACTTCAATTTGGTTTCAGGGTCCAGAATTTTTAAGGCAGAGAGTAATAGAGTATAAAAAACCAAAACATCTGATAACAAAACTCGAAGAAGTTAAAGTTCATACAACTATGTTGGATCTTACATTCTGGAACAAATTCTCATC